TGCCCCGGAGGAGACCACATGGCGAGCCAGACCTCTCCTGACCCGCCCGCTGGTTCCTTCAGCAGTGTACTTCATCGATCTGCCTGTTCTGCTCCCCACTCTGTCTCTGGTGAAGCCTCTCACCGCCCCTGAGCCTCTGGTCTGTACCCCAGTTCTGTATGCACAAATAAATAAATAAATCTTTAAAAAAAAAAAATGAATAGTGGGAGAGCGCTTGTATAGCAGGCAGCGTACCCTATGTCACCTGAGGTGACATGACCTCTGCAAGTCAAAAGAAGCTTACTGCAAACACCCCTGGCTTTGCTGATGACAATATTCCTACCGTGAGAACAGACAGGCCACGTGTAGGAGACAAGAGAGAAACTCTATGGAATTGGTCCCCTTAGGAACAGCCTTCTAAATCCCTGGTGGGCAATGGAAGCCACAGTGGCATCATCATCTTCCCAGTTAGGCGCTTTCACTGTCTCCTCAGCACCCCAGTGGGCTGAGACCCACTTTCTGACCCAATAACACCTAATAACCCACATTTGACTCGTGTGAGATCCAGGAAGGTAAACTTCAAGCTGCTAACAATGCAGCAACACTAATTTACATAAGATTCATTTTCAGGAGCTACAGCCCACCTACAGTGCTTAGAATGTGACAGGTATCTCTCAAAGCACACCTGCCCCATGGATGGGGATGTGAAAGAGAAATCTCCTCAGGAAAACAAGGACGCAATAAGATGCTGTAGTGGTGACCTCAGTCAGAAGGCAACCTGAGAGTCCAAGTGGCTTAGGGGTAGGCAAGAGTTGGCAAACTCTTTCTGAAAAATTTCTATTTTAAAATTTGTGTTTTCTCTCACAGCTACTTAAAACAATTGCTGTAGTCCAAAAGCAGTCAGAGGTGATTCATAAACAAATGGACATGACTATGTTTCAATAAATCTTTATTGATAAAAGCAGGTGGAGGCCCAGATCTGGCTTGTGTGCCTTATTTTGTTACTCTTGCCATAGGTAACCAAGAAAATGAGGACACAAAAGAAGAGGTGAGAAGCACCCACATCACTGAGCCACATGCTTAACCGTTCATAGTCACTCTTCCATTTTATTGTTACAGCAACCAAGTCATTACAGTTTTAGCACCTGCTTCCTAAAAAGTCTGCAAAAAAGGCAGCTCCTCAGATATAACAAGCCAAAAACTTTCTTGAAAATGAGTAAGTCTCCTTTCCCCTCTTAGCCTACCATAGGAAAAGTGCCTAATGGCCAAAACCATAGTTATTTAAGTTCTTTCCTAAGGGTTAGTCTAGTCTTGCCTTCTGTGTTCAAATATTTGGAAAGTAAACCTTAGAATTATTATGTACCAGAGAGCTTTGTTTTTTTTTTAAGTCTCTGAACTCAACTCTTCTATAGGAAAGTTTCTTATTGAACTTTCTTCCTGAAATAACTTGCAGGGAGGTCAGTTTGGATTCTGTCCAGTCTTCTCACTTTCTTCGTGATGGTGCAATGATAATTCAGGTTCTCAATGATGACTCTGAATCAGCCTAATCCTGAATCATCAATGATTAAATTATGTTCAGCTTTATGGATGGTATTTTTAATGCAAGAAAATAGACAAATGAATTTTAAGCAGAAGTTATAGAAGAATTCAAAACCAAACAAGCATCTGACTTAGCCTAAGGTGACCAAAGCAATAAATTTACAGAGCCACCACTTCCCTTCAATGTCTATGTTAATACCTATTTTAGGAAATTCTGGTATAATTCAAGGCCAGCTTAATTTATTCCTAAACGCAAATAACTTTATGGAAGACAACCTCGTATTTTGAATTAACAAATGCTTCACTTTTGGCTATAAAAGAATAAACATAACCCTTGAAAAGATTGCTCACTGTTCTATCTTGCTATCAACCATTTGTCTTTTAGCCAGAAAAGATGCAGCCAACTGCTGTTTACATTCTTTAATACTCAGTGTAGACTGTTACCCAGAGAATTAAGCATTCGTCATCAAACTAAATGTAAAGGCAAAAAAATAATCAGAACTCCTAAGTTTTCATCCATTTTAACAGTCACAGGTAAATCTGACCGCAGACTATACTTGGCCATTGTTCTTGTTATAAAGTGGTCTCAGAGTTCTGTGTATTCTTGGCTACAAGTTCTGCTTTCCAATTGCTCTTTCTAGATTCCCCTGCCATATGAGAGCAAGTCAATTTCTGCATAATCAGAATTACAGTCAAAAGTCTTCATTGCAAGGCACAAGGGATAATTATGAACCAGAAAAGTGAGACAGGATGGGAAATTTAGGAAACTGGTCAATTGCTCAAGCAGTAAATACAAGGTTCAGAAAATTCTGGTTTTATTTTTCTCTCGAGTTTGATTTCTATCTGCCTGCCTAGCAATGAAACATGAACTTCATCAATTCAGGTTTTGCCACTTGTTTCCAGAATTGTCCTCAGGCTTTAGAGATTAACTCAGCCCTAAAGGAGTGGTGGGGACCAGGCGTCCTGGTGTTCCTGTCTCATCATGTGTCCAGCTTGGATTGACCACTGCATCCCTGATCCTGCTACACTTAGTTGTCAGTTATGCAGATGCTGCCTGTATGCTGGATCCTTAAGTTTCTAGACCAGATATTCTCACTGAACTCTGCCTCCCGGAATATTCTGATGTGCCACTTCTGATGTGTGGTTCCATGTCCCGATCCTAGAATGAGTGCAAGACCCCTCTGAGATTGGATATTCCAACATACCCCCATCTCACTGCAAGAACACAGCCTGTAACCTCCACGCAGGTTCCACAGTGGTTACTCATGCTAAATTGTCTATGCAGTTCACATTAGGCCAGGGAATTCTGACTCTTCTTCAAGAGGCAAACCAGGCTTAGCAAACAGGCTTGCAGGTCTATTGCTGAAGCTTCAACCTCAGCTTTGAAACCCAAAAGAAATATCAGATTGTGCTTCTTTTTATATTCCTACTAACTCTAAGAATACACTCATCTCTGAAAAATTCAGAGAATTTAGGGGTAAATGAACATACTTAAGAAAGACTAATAAAATACTTTTCAAAATAGTATCCCTCAAAATAACTGAGATCCAAATATTTCAAGAAAGGTTAAGGAATAAAAAATATACCAAATCTGGAAGTCTCTTACAGACAACAGTTAGAGATCAGACAGAGAAAGAAAGCAGTTTGGGATCTAAGTGGAGAAGGAGGCACAGAACTGTGGCCTTGCCAATGATTAATGCCAGTGGAGACAGAGCTGTCATCTCTAAAGACCTGTGTGAAAGGAAAACCCAGACTCTGGAGTAAGGATAGTTGTGTCTGACATCCAAGATATATGACTGGCCCAAATATTTAATAGAAGGGGAGGATGTGAAGAATTGGTTTTCAATGTATATTAAGTTTCTGTCACACAAATGGGTAAGTTCTAGAACTCATATATGCAGTATAGGCAACAGTTTTGTATTATGCCCTTTAAAATATGTTAAAAAGATAGTGTTTTTGTTAAATATTCTTCTCAAAGAGTTAGGTCAGAACTAAGAAAAATGTTGAAAGTGATGATGTCACGAGGGAATGCACATGCCCAAACTCAGTATGTTTTCATTATGAGTGTAAGATTGTTTGTACTTCAAGTATGCCTCAGGAAAGCTAGAAAATTTTGAAACAAATTTTAGGGTGACTTCTGCCCCAAACACATTTGTTTTAATAAATTAGTATTACAATTCTGATCATTGGAGACTGGAAGTCCATTGTCATCCACCAAATGGGATTATGAGTTAATGAAATTAGTCTAGATGCTTGTAAACATCACACCACTAGTAGATTAGGCTTGCAATCTGACATGAATCCCAAACTAAAGTGGGTTACCTGATAAAGAAGCACAATTCCTGGAAATGGCTAGATCCAAGGAGTCAAGAATGCCCAAACTGGAATATGAAGCTAACTCAGCATTTCTTAGCCAGATGTGTGTCAAGGACAGGAAGCCCCCAGGGGCTCTACTGCAGACCCTAAGAGCTTAGGAGAGGAGAACAGGGGAGGAGAGAAGCGCTCCCCAGAGGCGAGTAAAAGCAGAGAAGGCAGAAGGGAAGGAATGTGTTAGTCACTAAGTGGGGGTTGATCATCCTCCAACATAGACCAAAATAAAAGGCCAACCAACTGAATGGAAAGTTTTAGCTATGAAATCATATAATGACAGTTTAAGTGAATAAATAATTGATTCTTGCGTGACTCTTAATGGGAAAAAAATGGAGGTTTTGTATTGCATAGAATTTAAACTTCTAACTGTGTAATAGATGTTTCAAGAGCACTTCCAGTTTGCAATCATAATTATTTTGAGGGTTATTGATGTTGATGGGTGTGTGTTCCTCCAACTGAGCTCTAAGTTACACAAGGGGAAAGATATCTACCATTCTATTTCCCAACTTAGCAAAGTCTCTGGCAAATGTTAGGCTCTCAATGATATTCATTGAGTGAATAAATGAGGTTGATTTTGTGGGCGACATTAGGAGCTTGGCAATGGCTTGACACCCATAATGTATATATGTATCTGAAGCAACGATTTGGAGTAAGCCTCCTGCATAAAGCATGAAAAATCTAGAGACCACCTCCCCTGTGGCATGAAATTGAGAACATTTTGACTCCCACTGCAAGGACGTTACCACAGGCCCTGGATTCCATCCAGGTGAACCCCATTTGCCCACAGGGGGAACACAACTTAAACAGGAAGCCATTAAGGAGAATGTGGGACTTGTATTTTATTAAGCCCGTAAAGATCTGAAAAAAAGGTGGGTGAAAGAAGTCCAGGAAAGAAGATAAAGGAAGGAAAGAAACGTCCAAAGACTTACGCTCTGTGACAGTTTTGCCTGGGCTGGTCTGACATGCCATAGCATTTCACAGAGAAACTATAAACACAAAACAGGCACACCTCAAAGTCTCAAAGCATTTTTCTCCTGCCTGTCTCAAAGCATTTTTTCTCCTGCTTGGACCTCTGGCTTTCTCAGTCTAACAAGACAACTTGTGTTTTTCAGAATGCGGAAGCGAGTTATGACTTCAGCAGCAACGATCCCTACCCTTATCCCCGCTACACGGACGACTGGTTTAACAGGTAAATGGGGTCTCCAGAGGTGTCTTTGATTTAGATTTGGTGTGTTTTATTTTGCTTTGCTTTCTTTATAAGAATGGTGCATCACCTGCCAAATAATTCTATGCTTTACCAAATTTATTGTGATTTATGCTGAGTGACTATGTTCTTTAAATTCCTAGATTTTTCTTAATAGTACCATACTCCTATAAAATTACTCTTTGTTCCATTGAACTAGGATTTATTTGCTAGTTAGTTATTCAATATATTCTACTAAAGATAAAATGAAATATAAATAACAAGAGGTTCTTTCCCAACCTATCACGAGGTGATTTAAAACACACTAATTTTACTTTGTTGAAATTATTGCAGAAAATTATGTTACCCCAGGGTATTTTACCCCTGAGTTTGTATGTTTTTGAAGTTTCCTACCATGACCCTATAAAGTATATTTTGTCCCTTTCAACAAAACAGTAAATGTAAGTGTAAGTAAATTGTCAATGATATTGTTGAAATGTTGCTTGGCATCTTACTAGGTGAAACTACTCAGTGGTCCATGTGAAGGTATTTTTCTCTGATCTATTTTACTGGTAAACATGTAAACACAATCTTTTTTCCTCCAAATAAGATATGTCTAAGAGGTTGCTTGCTTATAAGAAATGTCAAGAAAGGAAAATGTGTAATTGCTCAATCAAAAGCAACTATGTTTTAAACTTAGTGTTTCCTTACTAATGAGGCTGTTGGGAAGTTCATGAGAACATATGGACTTCAGTTAAAGGCATAAATGGTATAATTAATGTATAAGTGTGTATTGTATGTAGAGCAACTTACTCATTTGTTTTACTCCTTGAGGTAGAAAAGCAAATGTCATTCTCCTTACCAATGATAAGAAACACTCAGAAAGGCTGAGTGACTTCCCCGGTCAAACTCTTAGTATACATAAAAGCCAACTCTTTGAATCTAAGTCTCATAAATCTCCAAATCCAAATGGTATCATTCTTTTATCCCCATCCCTATTAGTCTAAAAGACAGGCTGTCAGGTGACCACGAGTAAGATGGCCAAGAGGGACAGTCCACAGGAGATCATAGAGTGTAGACTGCCCCTTATTTAGCAAGTTGGCCTGAGATTGTCTAGAGGAGAGACAAGGCACACTGATTAGGGATCTTGACAATTAAAGGAAAGAATAAAGAAGAAAATGCAATCCAAATGAATGCCATGTTGTAAAGATCATTGCTGGTGTCACAATTCCCTGCCAAGTTCATCTTGTTTTAAAACTACCATGCAGAGTTTAGAAGTGTGTCACTAAGGGTAAAAAATATATTTAGGCCCTCCCTGGTGGCGCAGCGGGTTAAAGCACAGCACTGAGAA